TAGATATGGGCCGCACTTTTGAAGAGATATGACTAAGGTTTACGTAACACTTTGAAGATAATGAATACTATCTGATTCGAAAATACTATTGAAGACGGACACAATAAAGTGATCGCGTACCACCTAGATCCAGATGGCTGACGTTTACGTAATATGTAACATTCAGAAGATATACAGTCCCATCTGTTTCGAAAGTACTAGTTAAGATTGCTACAATAAGATAATAACACTTAAGATTAGTAACATATTTTGGAAGATATAACTGAAGTGTATTATGAGAGCCTGATATCACGTGAATTTTTTGTTCATTCAGAATGGTTGATACATAAAGCTAGATGTATCTCGAAATTTTGCCAGGTACACGCATTAAATCACTTCTATTGTTTTGAAATAAATACAGCAAGAATGCTTGGTCGGCGAAGGTTGATACCATAAAATACACCGCCCAGTTGTCCCCGTTGCGAAAGTCATGCGACCAAGGGGCCTGAGGGTAATGCAGCCAGGCGTACTGAACTCCATTCTTACAGTACTCAATCTGGCTGCTTTGAATTATGTATTAATTGGTAGATACCATTTTCTTATCGGTACTGCACGAAAGTCCATGAATTCTAGAAAGAGTTACTGCCTTGTGCAACCTAGCGCTTCACACTGTTTAGGGAATATGGAAGGTAGAACCTGTTCTTCCACATTGCAGCTGTTCGTCCAACCCACTGCTTCCTGTTGGAAGATAAATTCTTACACATACCTGTAGGGTGTCCCAGAAGTTGACGTCAAGCCGGAAACGGGCGTAGGCCAAGTCATAATAGTTATCAGAAAAATCGTAGTCGTGTACTTTTCAAATTCTAGGCTTTAAAGAAATCGAAAACATCGGAAAAAGCTACAGCCTGTGATGATCTTTTAGGTCATATTACTAGAAATTTTAATTTTTTCTATCATGTAAAAAACCTATAAATCGTCAAAAAAACCTATAAGATTTCAACTTGCAGACTAGGTAGTTTTTACGGCGCAAACAGTCATTCCACGTTTGCTCACTAGGATCGTTGTGAACGTCCATCTATGGAAGAATCACTCAACTAAAGTATGCATTATTGGTTGCATAGTTTTGTGAGGCTGAGTGATCCGGGTCTGTAGTTTTTATCTCTGAGAGGAAAGTTGGTTGAATAGCAAGATCGCATCTGGATGATTATGTGTATTGGTATGCATGTTTATAAAATCAGTGATATTTGATGTGTGAGCAAATCATTACTGAATATGACGAATATGATGGGTTATTTATATGTTGTGCTTTCTGAAGAGAGGTTATGTTCAAAGTTATAAATTACGAAAAAATGAGGAGAATTACGGGAAATCCTCACCGCGCTCGCGTTGTGTGTAATTACTGTTAGCATTTATATGGCTTGTAATTTGACAGTGTACAGTGAATATAATGTTTTCTTAACTCTCTCAGTTTTGAAATTCAGCAAATTTGTATATACAGGGTGACTTCGAAGTTGAGTCATTTATTTTAACAGTGAGTAGATCTGATCAAAAGAAATGTTTTTTTCCTTTAACATTTTTGTGGTAAAATTAAAGTAACAAAGTTACAGCCCTTTAGAAGTTTGAGTACCGCCCTGTCTCAATAATAATATGTGCTCGTGTTTGGCAACAACGGATATAATCGGAAACAAAAAAGCGTAAGAATTTGAAACGCTTATCACGATGTTTTATTCATTTATTTTATTCAGTTGTATTCATTCGATGTGTCAGTCGGTAACGCGTGAGTGGTGTTTCTGCCTGGACTGCGTGAACTTGTGGACTTGATTCTTATTTTACAAAATGCTGCTACGGCAACACGGATTTATGCGGATCGGTTTCCCAATCGAGTGCAACCAACCCCTAGTGCCTTTGTTAATGTAGTACAAAGGGCTCGTGAATCAGGTGACTTAAGTCCTCACACGGGAGGGTATGTGCTCCATGACCGCACGATCAAATACAGGTCCGCACTGAAATACTTGTCGGGAGGATATTTTATAAAACAAGGTAACATTTTTTTTTAATTTTTACACACATATTTTGGTGTATCTTCCTTCTACAATCATTATCTGAAAATTAATGACTCAACTTCAAAGTCACCCTGTATAATTTCCAGAATGTATAAGAAAAAGTGGATGCGCAACTAATTTCTAGCTTTAAATCTCAATTAAGTGTATTTGAGACAAGAACCTAATGTAATCATCATCAACACATACAACTTACAGCGTAGACCTCCAGTAATGCCATCTCAGAAGCAGATTTTACATCACATCAAAGCCAAAGATTGATAACAAGCCTCATGACGTTTAGGCAACACGTACAACTAAGTGCTAAGCTAACATCTTGTAGAATAACCTACATAATGTCAAAAAAACAGCATAATGTCAAAAAAATCGGCATAATGTCACTTATCTGTTATCAACAAATTCGGCTGCTTCCGTTACTCTGCCCTGTAGGTCAGCTAAATTTTCGATTGACTTGACTAATTTGAAGAGTATACAATTTTTTTTTATATTTTTCTGATTACTATTATGACCTGGCATCCACCTGTTTCCGGCTTGACTTCTGGGACACCCATAACCAGACATCAAATTCTATAAATTCTCACGCCTTCTATTTAGTTTCTTATAGTGGATTCACTTAAACCTTCAAGATAAATTATGTGCCTTCTGGGCTGATCTACCTTTCCGTTGCCTTCGTTACCCTGAATATCCTATAGCAATGTTGTGATAAATAGCGTACTAGCTAATTAGTCAAATAAATTATTTAAATAGCTGGTACCATCATGATGGCATTCGTTATCTGATGTCAATCGGATTTGTCTCAAAAAGAAAAAAAAAATAAACCGCAATTCCGGTGGACATCCCGAAAATAGGTCGAAGTTCATGTTAGTATAAATTTGATACGGTAGGAGCTGAGTAACGGAAACCGTTAATACGACGAATATACAGGGTTATCCAAATTAAGTGTCCACCATTAGTAACTTTGTTATTAGTGAAAATACAAAGTTGTTTGAATTAGCAAACTAGTAGCATTTTTAACGCTGGTAAAAATGAGAAATAAAAAAAAACAATTGAGAGTCGTTATTTTGATTTCTTTCAGTAAAGTAACATTTTTTTAAATGGAAACCTCTGTATATTATATTTTTTTCTGTTAAAGCATCAAATTTTAAACAAAAAAGCTTACAATAACTTTTCTCCTAGGTTACAAATTGTTGAAGTTATGGCCTCCAATCTGAAACAATTAAATTGTATCGACAAACTTTATTTTCAACATCAACTTATAATCTTACAAAATACAATAACAATTTTTTTTAAAGAAGATGCTCGAAAACACCACCTTGTTCTTCAATACATTTTTGGGCACGTTTTTCAACTGCTCGAACTGTCTTAAGTATGGTCCTACCATCTATCTGGGTTATCTTTTCCCTAACTGCAGTCTTTAACGCGTCAAGGTTATCGTACCTTCGCTTGTAAATTTGGTTCTTTAAGTAACCTCACAAGAAGTAATCAAGTGGGTTTAGATCTGGTGATCTGGGAGGCCACTGTATTGGGCCATTTGTTCCTATCCACTGATCATTAAATGTAGTACTTAGAAAATGATAAGTACCTCTGGAGTTGTGGGCAGGTGCGCCATCTTGCTGAAAATGCAGATGATGTCTACTTATAAGATCCAATTCGTCTAAGAAATTAGTCAGAATTTCTGACATAAATTCCACATATCTTTCACCAGTTAGGGTTCCCTCATAAAAGAACGGGCCAACAATTTTTGAACCAATTATACCGCACCAAACGTTGAAACTGAAACGGACTTGTGGGCCTCTTGGATGTACTAACAAAAGATTTTCTCTTGACCAATAATGGTGGTTTTTTCTATTAAACATTCCAGAATTTGAAAAATTTGATTCATCTGTCCATAAAAGGTAACGAAAGTTATTTACATTTTGGCGACAGAAGCTAAGATACCAATGGCAAAAAACAAGTCTTCTCACTGGATCCCCTGCCAAAAGCGTTTGAACTGGTCGGTACTTATACGGAATAAATTTGTATTTTTTTAAAATCCTTTGAACAGTACCATAACTGAAACTAGAGTCCTTGAGAATATCTGCTATTGAATTCTCACGATAAGCTTCAAAATATCCAATAACTGCAATTTCCGTGGCCTCGCTTATTATGAATTCTTTTTTTGCCCTTGTTTTAGCAAAAACATTTTCGTTGCCCCTAAATTTTCGATAAAGTCTCAGAAAATATCGTTCATACGGTTGAATGCGAGCGGGATATAATTCACTGTAGTATTCTCTTGCTCTCAAGGAGGATTTTCTGCACACTAAATAGCATTCTAACATATCACACTTTTCTTCATGGGAGAACATTTTTCTTTAAATTAATGACACAATAAAGCTTATAAACAAGTATTTACACTAATGTTTGACATTATTTGATTTTATCATTGTTTTCCAAAGCCTTCTAGTTGCGAGTATGTCCTGTTTAACAATTTGTCGCTTATCTTAATGCTGTCAAATCGCGAACGCCATGTTGTTTTCATAGCCGTCTTAATATTATAATACTGCAAATAATTAAAAATATTTATCGTTATTTTGACTTTATTTTTGACTTTAGCGGAAAAGTCATTATGAACTTTTTTGTTTAAAATTTGATGCTTTAACAGAAAAAAATATAATATACAGGGGTTTCCATTTAAAAAAATGTTATTTTACTGAAAAAAATCAAAATAACGACTCTCAATTGTTTTTTTTTATTTCTCATTTTTACCAGCGTTAAAAATGCTACTAGTTTGCTAATTCAAACAACTTTGTATTTTTACTAATAACAAGGTTACCAATGGTGGACACTTAATTTGGATAACCCTGTATACATAGATCAGGTGGTGGCTATTCATGACGAATGGCGCACACTAAGGTGAATTCACTAAATTGCCTTGGTTATTTCATACTTATTTGTTTGACGGTTGATACCTTGGGATATAGGTAGTCTTAAATGACTTTATTGTTTTTCGAAGTATTCTCCACGAAGATTAATACACATCTGCATGCGCTCGAACCAATTTTCGAAGCACTTATTCCACTTGTTTGCTGGCAGATCCAAAACGGCATTTTTGAATGCGTCAACTGCTTCTTCTGGTGACTGGTACCGTTGACCACGCAGTCTGTTTTTAATTTTCGGGAAAGTAAAGAAATCGTTAGAACTTAGATCGGGACTATATGGAGGATGGTCCAATAATTCCACGTTTTCTTCCGTTAAATACTGCCTTGTTTGTTGGGCTGTGTGCGAGCTTGCATTGTCTTGGTGGAGGATGATTCTTCTTTCGGGGTTGATTTTTCGAAGTTCGGTGATGACTTTTGGCAAACAAATGGTGGTATACCAATCCGCAGTAACAGCTCTTTGCTCATTCAGAGGAATTGTTTTGACACAAATGTCGCGACCATCTTTTTCGAAACACTTCGAGAACGGATGACTTTGTTGGCTTTTCTTCACCTTGGAACACCCAAACAGCAGTGTCGTTTATTTTCTGGTTCTTAACAGTAAGTCCACGATTCATCACCACTAACAATGCTGTACACATTTTTTGAGTTTCCGGAATTGAAACGGTCAAGCGTTTTTTGACACCAATTAACCCTGGCTGCTTTCTGCTCTTCAGTCAACAGCTGGGGTATCCAACGAGAAATTTTTTGAAATGATGTCTTTGGGATCTTCAAGGACGCCTCAATCTCGCGATATGTCACGTGTCTATCTTCAATGATGAGTTTGCGCACAGGATCGACGTGTTCCTGGGTGACTGCCGTTTTTGGTGCACCCACCCTGGGATCGTCGCTAAGACTCACCCGTCCACGTTTGAATTCTCTATACCAACGGGAAATTGTCGACTGATGTGGCGCTTTGTTGCCGAAAACAGACAGTAACTTAGCAAGGCATTCTTGTTGCGATAATTGTCTCTGAAAGTTGTAATAAATTATGGCGCGAAAATGTTATTGGTTGAGTTCCATTTTTCTAATGGCTTGGTGACACTTAAAAATTCACTGTAGTGAGAACACTGCACGTATTGTTGTGAAACTTTGAATTTAAGTTTACTAAAGAGTGATGGTAAGATTCAGTACTGACGTTCGATCCGCGCGGCCTACTATGTTTCTATATGCAAAACTTAAAAGACATCCCTCGTTTCTGACCTGATGGTTCTTTTACTTGTTACTTCTAATCAATGTTTAAACGCATTTTTCACTCTTAAGGGTGTCATACTCAATCTGACAGTCGTCTGGAGTAAGTGGATCAAAAGAACGTGCCTACAGAATAGAACAACTAATTATCGAGAGTTAATGAACTCTCTAAGATAAAAAAAGAAAAAGGATTAAAAAAAAGAAAATATTGTTTATTCGAGTAACTCTGAATTGAGTAACTATCAAGAGTGAGCTGAGATTTCACTAAACTAGTTATGATAATGAATTAGATAAATTCGAAAATAAATATAATAAATTAGCTCAGTTAATATGAAAGGAGAACACTGGTGTACATTTAGATATAAGTTGTATAGGATCAAGAGACTGAGATATTGTTTCATTCTTCAAATAAATAATTAAAAAGATGTGAGCTTGATGATTAGTATACTAAGTGACATATAAATCCGAACACCCAGTTTAAATGGTTTTATTTTAATAAAAGTTGGTGAATGTATTTATCTTACTGTAAATAACAAGTGAAAAAATGTTCAGCCTTATCAGTTGGACATTCCGGTTTTTATACTGCTTTTTTTTAATTCACTAACGCTCTAAAAATTAATATTTCAGCCGCAGTAAAGAATCAACGTTGGCGGATTTTGGTTCTTGACATCCTTCACGATCGGTTACGATGCCTAGAGTACGGAGACCTGTACGATTTCGTCAACTTAGTGAGTTTGATAGGGGCCGTATAGTGGGACTTCGGGAAGCTGGACTTTCTTTTCGGGCAATTGCAGTTAGAGTGCAAAGAAGTGTAGACCCTGTGGTTAGGTGTTGTCAGGCATGGCTTCGAGAAGGCCGTACGCAAAGAGCAAGGGGCACTGAACGCCGCCGTAGAACAACAGACCGTGAAGATCGCCGCCTAAGATTATTGGCCTTAAGGGACCGTTTCTCCACTACCAGGTCCATTGCAAATGAATGGTTTGCAGAACACGGAAGACCTATTGGCATGCGAAGTGTTTGCCGACGAATGAGAAGTTTTGGCTTGTTTTAATACCGGCCACACTGGGTCCTCCCTTTAACTCGAGAACACCGACGTAATCGCCTTGAGTGGTGCAGACAACGGTCACTCTGGGATCAGGAATGGAACAGTATTGTCTTTAGTGACGAGTCTCGATTTTGTTTAGGCATGCACGATGGTCGTGCCAGGGTTAGAAGGCGACGTGGTGAAAGGAGGAATCCACAGTTTTTTGTTGAAAGACATGTTCATTACACTGTTGGAGTTATGGTTTGGGGTGCTATAGCTTATGGTTCCAGGTCACCTTTAATCTTCATCAATCTTCAACATGAACGCGCAGCGTTATATCCACAAAGTTCTAGAACCCCATCTTTTACCCTATCTTGACACCCTGGCAGATCCAACTTTCCAACAAGATAATGCCCGACCACATGTTGCAAGAGTCACAATAGACTTCTTTCAACATAATGATGTCACATTGTTACCATGGCCACCAAGATCTCCCGACTTATCCCCAATTGAGCACGTGTGGGATATGATGGGTAGGAGATTGCTCAATTTGCAACGTCCTCCTCAGACTCTAGAAGCACTTCGAGAGGAGTTGGTGGTTGCCTGGAATGAGATACCACAGGAGGACATTGACCACCTGATCAGAAGCATGCCTAGGCGCGTTCGAGAATGCGTAGCACATAAGGGTGCATCCACACATTATAAAAGGTCAAAGGGCTTTAAAGCAGTGCAATCATTTTGAAATTTTTATCATTTACTTATTATGCTTCATTAAGTACTTATACAAAATTTTATTAAAATAAAACCATTTAAACTGGGTGTTCGGATTTATATGTCACTTAGTATAAATAAGTACTGACCAAAATCTGCATAGCGACTAAATCTGTAGGACCATATTGGATTAATGACCAGAAGAGAGAGATGACCACCAAGAGCAACCTAAGTGCCAAAGAGCAGAAATCTCAGTTGTTTTCACTTGAAAGGCAAGCACAAAAAAACTATTTCCTCTTTCCACAGGGGTATTACGTGTCTTGGAAAGTGACATTATGTAGGTTTTTTGTGAGATTATGTAGGTATATTCTACAAGATGTTAACTTAGCACTAGCTGTTGTACACCTGATGTGTACTCGTTCCGTAAGTGTACGTGTTGCCTAAACGTCAAGATGCTTCAGTTGTCAATGTTTAGCTCTGATGTGCTGTAATATCTGCTTCAGAGATGACATTATTGGAGGTCTAAGGCCCGTATCGTCAGTCGACCCTACAATTGTAGGGCGCGTTTATGGCCTCCTTGATTGTCTTCTCTTCTTCAAAAGTTTCTAGATTACACTTGTCCCGTGTCAGCGTCAGCGCTCTCCTATTGTGAAGATATGTTTTCTTTTTAAATTGTAGGAAATTTCAGGCTGATAAAACATGATATAACTCAAAAGCAAGCACAATTTGATGCAAATAGATGTTTGTGACATAACCTCAAAATAGAGTTCTGACATGGCGAAGCAGAAAACTATGACAATCAAGGAGGCCATAAAGGCGCCCTACAATTGTAGAGACGACTGACGATACGGACCTAAACTGTAAGTTGTATACTACAGCTGGAAATAAACGGAAGCACATAAGTGCTTACTGAGGATTTGTGTGCTAATAATCTGTGTGATAACTCGATTGGTTTCTTGTCTTAAATACCCTTGTTTGAGATGTATGCTAAGCTAAAAAGTAGTTGCGCAGCCGCTTTTTCTTATTCAACCTGGAAATAACATATGTAAATTTCGGAATTTCAAAAAACAGAGCGATAAGGAACGAAAATCCCTGGTTGGTGAAGTATATTAAAACTAACAGGTGAGAAAATATCGTACATACAAGAATATTTATGAAACGAAAAAATGTATTACATATCACGTAAACTTTTATTTCCAGTCATTTAAATTTGAGGCAGTGCGAAAATGTTTTGTACGTGATGCGTCATTCGTAACTTTTCGGTGATGTGGCTTAATTACACACAACGTGGTGACGGTGCTGATTTCCTGTAATGCTTATCAAAGTTTTTGAAAGCGCAAAAAACGGGGAAAATTGTAATGTGTAACCTAACATATCTTCAGAAGGGTATCACAAATAACCCGTCAGGCACAGCTAATAGATATATTTCATGGGCGGTATATTCCGTAATAATTTTTTCACATAGCAAATATCACTGATTTTATACAATCATCCAGATGTGATCTTGCTACTCTGCTACTCAACCACACATCTCCCAGAGTATACTCTACAGACTATCTCGGCATTCGGCAAGCAACAAAGCAAAATAGGGAACTGACTTGCAACTTGCAGCAAGCTCATTGAGCTTGTCGTGTCGTTGAATGATTCCTCCATAGATGGACCCTTTTGATGACGCTCACAGCGCTCATAGCGAGCAAACGCGGAATGTACTATTTGCACACTAGAAACTATGTAGGCAGCAAGTTGGTTTTTTGAGACGTTTCATAGGTTTTTTACGTAATAACCAATAATAATCCTGCCGGACCATCCAGCACTGTCGAGAAAGACGAAAGCAGTTTTATAGTCATTGCTCGTTTGGATGGCCCTGTTTAGTCAGTGGTGTTGCATTAAAGAAAACGAAATCGTTTACTATCAAACTAAGATTTGTTTTTTTCCATATTTTTTGTAAGCTATTTTATAAATTTCGTCGGGTGGGAGAGTTAGGACGAGCGTTTACCTCTAAAAGTTATAGTTAGCCCAGATAATGCAGCAGAAAAACCGTACTATAAAAACCGGTCTCAGATTTATTCAACTTAACGATTTGAGCATTTAATTCATTTTATATCATATTTGCAAATATATTAACGAACTAATTTCTATGCATTTCCACAAGCAAGCTTTTTGTCAATGTACCCTTAACTTACACTTGTCACGTTTAGAATTGCGGACCGTAAATGTTATATCTAATTTTAGCTCTGTCAGTGGTTTAAGCCACTTACGGATGTAAGCATCTTAACATTCATTTCATAAGCCTTTGCATAACGCAGACAGACAAATAGTTTCATGGGAAAGTACAAAAGTTGATACAGCCCGTCATGTCCTGGCTCCCGGCTCCCATTTCAGGGTTGCCTAGTTAAGTTCTGCCACTACATTCAGTACTTTTTGGCATTCTCAGATCAGTGCATACAGGGTTTGTCCGGAAAGTAATAGGACTGAGTCGATTTAAAAAAAATTATCGAGCCAATCGTTACAATTCTTTAAAAACTTTCAAAATAGGCTCCTTCTGCGTCGATGCAGCGCTGCCAGCGCGATTTCCAAGCATTGAAGGCGTCACGGAAGGCATTCTCCGGAATAGCCTTGAGAGCCGCGGTGCATGCTGCTTGGATCCCCTCTGTCGTCTCAAAATGCTTGCCTTTCATCGACCGTTTCAGGCGAGGAAACAAAAAAAAGTCCGGGGGGCCACATCTGAGCTGTAGGGCGGCTGCGGAAGCGTTGGGATGCCGGCCTTGGTTAGGTAGCTGTTCACAAGAAAGGCGGTGTGAGCCGTGGCGTTGTTGTGGTGCAACTTCCAGTCGGCTGCGATGTCTTGTCGGACCCGACTGACCCTTCGTTTGAGTCTCCTGAGCACTTCCACGTAAAACTTGGCGTTGACGGTTTGTCCAGGAGGAACAAATTCATGGTAGACGACGCCTTTGATGTCAAAAAAGACAATGAGCATCGTTTTCACTTTGGATTTGCTCATTCTTCCCTTTTTTGGGCGAGGAGACGCCGTTGTGTGCCAATCGGAAGATTGCCTCTTTGTCTCGGGATCATACTCAAAGATCCACGACTCGTCCCCTGTGATTACTAAAGCAACACCTGAGTAAGTCTCCTTGATCATATCAAACGTCTCTGTCGCAGATTTACAGAGTTTCACACAGAATTCACATTGGTTGGTTCTGTTGTCTAACCGAGTCAAGTATCGGGGAGGGGCGACGTTTCCAGATACACTACCGGTAGGGCAGGGAAACCATGTGACTAATTGTATGGACCTGTTTGACTGACTTTTTCTCAAAGAGTCTAGTTTGTGCTGAACATAATCCTTTATCTACTGATAACGGCGTTGCGTGGGAAATGCAGAGACCTATTAGACGAAATTTTGTTCAGCGCCTATTAAACTTGACTGTCCAGCTTAACCTGATTTCTATATGTGATTTTTTCAAAAGTCTACTTACGTAACTGGAGAAAGAATCAGTGCTGTAACATATTAGAAAGGAGATGGATAGAATAAAAGTTAATCTTCGTAATATATCTCCTGGATCTGAGCCATTTATTAGAAGATTATTCGGTACTCTCGATAAACATCTAACGTTTACGAAATC